GCAGATTTAATTACTAAATTCTATAAAGGATAGTTCTTTATATAGCTCATAAGAGTCCCTGTGGACTTCTGCTAGAACCTCCAAACAAGTACTTCTATTTTTTCTATTATTGTTTATTCTACCTCTTTATCAAAACAAAAAACAATAAGCCTAAAGGCACAAGGGGAGGAGGGCCAAGGCCCCTGGGGACTCCTTTATTCTTGTTCTTTCTCCATTTGAGACATGGTAACACCCTAGCCATCAGATTTCTTTCTTTCTTTTTTTTTTTTTTAAGATTTTATTTATTTATTTGACAGAGAGAGACACAGCGAGAGAGGGAACACAAGCAGGCGGAGTGGGGTGGGGGGAGAAGCAGGCTTCCCGCCGAGCAGGGAGCCCGATGCGGGGCTCCATCCCAGGACCCCGGGATCATGACCTGAGCTGAAGGCAGACGCTTAACCATCTGAGCCACCCAGGCGCCCCTAGCCATCAGATTTCACTGGTTGCAGGAGAGAAGTGGAGGGCAATTGGAGAATGAGGGGCCAGAAGAATGGGACAGCTGGAGCATGGTGAGAGCTGGAGGGGGAGCCTGCCTGGGAACTGAGGAAGCAGAGGTGTCCCAGATCTGATACTCTGAACTCCTCTGATACACTTCTCCATCCCCCAAGGCATTAGAACTTCCAGTGAGAGAAATTGCTAGAATCCAAACATTTTCCCCAACAAAGCCCCATCAAAGGCCAGTCATCACACATAAACCAACCTGGTTCTCTAACAGAAGTCAGTACTTTAAGGTTCACAGAAGTCTGTGCCTCAAAGCAAAACCTCATTGGAACCCTACTACCGTGGAGTTGGGCTGTCCTCCACTAGCTGCCTGTGTGAAGATACAACCAGTTAGCTCAGAGAGAGGACAAATTCAAAGCCCTTCTTCAAGGCTTAACAGTGCATATCCTAATTAAATAACTTTTATCTAACCTTTTCATTCAAATCAATCCTGAAGGAAGGACCTCTGCCAGTCCATTCTTAGTTACTGCTGGCATTTCAAAGAAAGCCAATAAATGCCTTTCCTTTAAAAAATATTCTATGAATCCATCAGTTTTTATTTTAAATGTCTTTGCCCACTTTTGTCCAAAGAAGTAAGGCTTTAACCATTTTGGGCTTTTCTCTGCAGAGTGAGTTTTAGGCCTTTGTTGGGGGGATCATTTCTGTTTGAGCCCAGCCTCTTCCACCTTTTTCGCTGAACCTGAATCCAGGAAACCCAGCAACAATCTTCAGATTTCATTTTTTTTTTTTTCCTGTGGGAATGAGAAGCCAGATACCTACTTTGGAATTCATCCTATAGATGCCTATTCTTCATTTCTAATTTTCTCCCCCACATCCTTTTCCTCTTTCTGGTCTTTAGGTAAAATAATTTCTATTTGATACAGTTTTCCCCACCTTGGTCCGTAATGGGTCAGTGAGTCTCCTGTGGCTTCATGGCCCTGATAGCAAGGGGGTACTGCTATCTTTGGTCTTTTTGTTCAGTCAGCTCTCCTCAGCCGATATTTTACAGGCTCTTGGAAAGTTCTAGGAGTGCAGTGGTTCCCTCATTCCTCACACTTTAAGTAGAAGACATCGTAATACTACAAGGAATTATATTTTCAAAGATGCTGTGAGGAAAATCCATAAATACCTCAAATGTTCTATGAATGCAGTGGTTCTCAGATGGATGTAATCTTGGCCCAGACCCCTAGATGTTTGACAATGTCAAGAGACATTTCTGGTTGTCCCAATCTGGGGAGAGAGGCGCTGCTAGCATCTAGTGGGTACAGGCGAGAGGACTCTGCTGCATATCCTATAATGCATAAAGCAGTCCCAACGACAAAGGATGATCTGTCCCCAAATTTCAATGATACGAAAGCAGAAAATCCTGCATTAGAGGAATTCTGGGTCTTTTTTTCTTTTTCCTCAAGGCCCGGGAAAAGAGGGGGAAAAAGGAAAGAAAAAAATGCTCCGTTTTCATGAGTGCCAGTGTCCTGAGTTCTTACATCCCACACAGATCCAGGAATTAGAGAGCACAAGGGTACCACTGAGCAGGGCAAAGTGCAAGGTCAAGGCAGGTCTTTTCAGCTCCAACAGCTGTCTCAGCTCCAAGGAGAGACAACTCAGACCAAAGCAGAGGACCAAAAAGTTACAAGGATGTTTAGTTTGTGATAAAAATCATTTTGCAGATTAAAGTGCTTCCTCCTGCCCATAAAATGGTATGTTCTTTAAATAAGTCAAAAATAGGAGGCATTTAACTGTGTTGTGAGCAGGAGGCAGAACTGCTGCTCAGAGCCACGGTCAATTAATTCCATCTTGTAATCAAGTCTACCCAAGCTGTAGGTGGTGGCGTTCTTCATATTTTCTCTAATGTGCTATTGAACTACCCCATGTTTCAAATGCCACTATTCTCAGCCTGAAGGGATTCCAGGGATGTTTCCTGGACCCAGTTTCTCTCTCTGCGTCTCTAGGCTCCCTTCTCCCTCGCTGCTTCAGTGGTAGCTAGATGGCTGCCCCACTGCCAGACGGTACCTCCTCCCATACGCAAGCCAAGTTAGAAAGAGTGAGTCTCTCTCCCAAGATCCTTGGCAAAGCCTCAGTGTGTCTCACTGGCTTTTATTGGGTCACATGCTCATCCCTGAGCCAGTGAAGTGGCTGGGGCATTCGATTGGCTGGGGCCAAGGTTCTAGCACACTCCTGAGCTAGAGCTGAGCCTGCTGTGATGCGTGTGAGCTGGAAGTGGGTAGATGTGTTGCATCAAAGGGAAATTGGGGTAAGATAATCAAAATAGGAGGGATGGATGTCGAGGAGAGTAAACACACATACACACACACACACACACACACACACACACACACTACTTGCTACGAAGAGGCTTTGGATTCTGGGGTGGAATCCTCAGGTCCTTGCCCTGCCCATGCCCTTTGTCATGAGCTAGCTGTATCACTTGAGATAATTCCATCACTCTCCCTGCCTCCTTTATCTCATCCACAGCATGGAAGTAACAATACCATTAGGGTGGTTGTGAAAAATCAACCTTGGGATATTGGAAAGGTTGTGCAGACAAGTAGTGGTGGTGGCATTAGATTCGAATGGATTCATTTCAGCTTCTAGAGTCTAGGAGACCAGCTACAACCCACCCAGCTAGTCTATGCCAGCCTTCAGAAGCCAGTGTCTAAATTTATCCCAATCCTCATTGTTACAGGTCAGTGTGGGAAATCTTCTGAGGTCAATGATTGAGGTAATTGGCTTGCCGTGGATCTTGAAAAAGTCTCTCTGTTAAATGACATAATTGGTTTTAATTATATAATTATGGCACTTAAAGTGTGGGGGTGAAAGGTTACTATTATATTTAGAAGTGAGATCCCCAAATGAAGCAAGGGTGTTCAAGCCAGTGTTTCTTCAAATTTCTCTTTTTATTTTTTCAGAGGGAAGTCAGAGTAGGCTGGCCTTGGCCCTGGCCATTTTGGGATGATTATCCTGCAATGAGGTAGTGCTGGGCCTGCTCACAGCATCATAGGAACCTTTGTAAAGAGACGGGAAAGGGCTTCCGTGAAGACCTCATTGCGATCTGAAGTTAATGAGCAGTGGGAACTCAACTGTCAGCAATTGAATGTGATTGGGCAGGGTAATTATATGATTGCCTCTGGTGTTTGCACATGCACAGGGATATTTTTATTGGAAAAAACCTAATTGCTTACTTACTTAGTGGAGGGAAAACCTAAACAAATTTGTGTTGTCATAGATTAAAAAGACATCCTTTCTTTGTCTCTAAAATAGCTGCTTGCTCTGCTTTTTAGAAGTGAGGGCTTTATTCTTTTCGTGTTCAATCAGAGATGTTGTTTGCAGGATTTGAATTATATGCTAATATGAAAATATAAAGGAAAGCTACTTTGGACTGTGCATTTTGGTAAAATGACCACGTGCTTATTGCCACGTCTTAAACCATCCCCTACAATGGTCTCTTTCATAATGCAAAGGCAGCTAGAATGCTGGGCAACACTCAAGATACTGGGGCTTTCACAGGTTTTTTTGTTTGTTTATTTTGTTTTGTTTTCCTGCATGGAGCCGCCTGGCAAGACTGGCTTCAGACGCTATCCGGTTTTCCTTAGTTGCATTAGGCAAGTGGGAGGGATCATTTCTACGGCAGCCTTTTTGACATCACAGTAGCAAGGGTAAGAGGAGCAAAGTGTTCCCTCTGAGATTTCCCAGGAACTTGGAGGAAAGGAAAGGGCAAAATGAGAGAGCCCGAGGGAAGGGAAGAAGCCTTGGGGCTCCCACTGTGGTGATGCCAGATTTCAGTCCAGCCTCTTGTTTTGACAGTCCTAAGTATGGCATCTCATTTACCTGTGATGCTGGTGTGCAGAGAACGGATAGCTGCAGTTGGGTCTATTCTATAGCAGTTCAACTCTGCATTATTGGGTTTTTTTTTTTTTCTATCTTCTTATAAAAAAACTATTTTCTAGGTTCTTTCCTGACATCCCACCAGAAGAGGTCAAAACATGACTGCATTGTGGGGTTTGGGGGAGCACCTTGTGATGAGAACAGCCCCTCAGATCAGCCATGCTTTCTCATCTTAGAATCTTGCACATGTTGACACACCATAGTCTTGTCTGGCTAACTCCATGGGTCCTCTAGGTTCAGTGTTAAATGTCACTTCTTCCAGGAAGCCTTCCATGACCACCCCCCATCCCAGTCTGGTTTGCCTGCCTTTGCTTTATGGTTCCTGATACCCTCTAGGTTCCTTTGTCCACTGGCCTTTAATTGCTTATCTCATTGTCCTGAAAACCCATAAGCTCCATGAGGGCAGGGCTTATGTTGATATTTGTCACTGCTACATCCCCAGAGCCTGGCACAGTGCTTGATGAGTGTGTTCAGAATGACTGAATGAGGAGAGGAATGGTTGCTGAGTGTCCTAGGGAATTTTGGTGTGTGATTCCTGGGCTTCCCTACCCTTGCTGTTAATACCGCTTTCTTGTTGCTTACAATTTTCATTGCCCCAGATGATCCAGCTCTGTCGGAGGCATGGAGGCACAGTCAAATCTCATGCTGTACATTGATCACCTGTCCAACCTTTGCCTAGAGTGGGAGCCCCCAGTTCCTTCAAGAGATCCAACTTTACCTGTCTGTAAAGAAGAAGAGGAGGAGGGAGACAGCGGGGAGGATCCGGTGGCAGTTTAACACCAGAGCAGGTCCAATGTTTACTTTTACCCTTTTGGAGGTGGGTACCTGCAAACACCACGGGGAGCTGGGTTTCAACGAGAAACCTGCACAATGATCTTGGATTTGGGGGCTCACACATACTTTATTTTTTGCTAGCATGTACAGTTGCTGTTTTTGTATTGAAGTCACATCCAGACTGTTCCACGATTACCCCAGCTTAGAACAAGAATCCAGGCTCATCATCCACATGATGTAAATGCTCGTACTGGCCTCATGTTGTTTGTGTCTTGCTATGTGGACAGAGAGTACGGTTCATTCATTGGTTCCTGTTTCATGACTATTTATTATTTGCTTTTCAAAGTCTGTGATTTTCAACAGCCTTTCTTGTTTTGATTCTCTGGCTTTTGATGTTTTAATCCCACCCGCCCCCCATCCTCTTAGACCATGAGATCCTGAATAACTACCAAAGAAATGAGCTGGCATTGAGACCACCCCTCAGCGTTTAAGTATAGCCTTACACAGCCCTGGGGTCTGTCTAACCAGCTTTTTCCCTAGGCAGAACCTGAACCTCTGACCTTGTAGGCCTCGGGCAAAAGGGCTTCCTACTAAGTACCTAAACCCCCTAAGTTTGGCTGCCTGTTGTTGGTTGGGCCATCATAACAATTTCTGGGTGAATGGACATTTGCATGTGGAAACCCTGGCCTCACATGTGGCAGGAAAAGTAAATCCTCAGAGCCCCGGGTGCTTCTTCCATAGTGGTCTATGCACTCTCTCCTAAGTCTAAAGCATATTCTCTCTCGGTTGGTTCTGGGGCTTTATTTAGTGTTTATTCTTCAGTTACATTTCGCTTTGTCATAATAAGCACCTCAATTAGGATCTTTGGGGTTTCCTTCAAGAAAGAGAGTTTGAACAACCTCTTCTTATAGTAGGTGTGTTCGCCAGTGTTGCGTGCTTGGGATCGGATAGGGATGGGCCATGGTGAGCTTTATGCCTGAATTCCAAGAAAAAGTTCCGTTTAATTTTCAGTTTTGGAATAGCACCAACGGATGTCTTGCCACCTAATATCCTTTCTGGATTGAGGCAGATAATTACTGCCTACACAAATAGGTCACATACTTTTATTAAAAAAAAATCATTTTTTTTGAATGACATTTGATTTGTAACTAAACTTGGTGATGTGGTCTCTGAAGTGTCTCATCTAGTCTAATTACAATGATTTATGTCTTTTCAGAATACTTCTGCATGCAGGGCTTAGTTCTCTGATTATTATTGCATAACGTGGTGAAGGGGAACAGTTTAAGAACAGAAAAAGACAAATTAGAATAAATGGTTGCCATTTTAGGTCAGACTCAAACCACTAATTGTTTCTATTGCTTTGTTTGAAAAAATATTTTCATGGCCCTTCACTGACTGATTTATTCAGCACACAGATTTAAGCACTGGCTCTCTGAGGGCCCTGCCAGGACCTGCCTTCCAGCATCTATCACCTGGGAACTTGCTAGAAATGCAGATTCCCAGGCCCCACCCAGCCCTACTGAATCAGAAGCTCTGCAGGTGGGGTCCAGCAAGCTGGGTTTGAATGCACTTCCTGGTGATTCTGCTGCACACAAAAGTTTAAGAACTTTTGGTTTAAAACTTCTGTGAGTATGTGAGGTGAGGTCATTAATAGGAGGATACCGGGGTGCCTGGATGGCTCAGCCGTTAAGCGTCTGCTCAGGTCATGATCTCAGGGTCCTGGGATCGAGCCCCGCATCGGGCTCCCTGCTCGGCGGGAAGCCTGCTTCTCCCTCTCCCACTCCCCCT